CATTGCTCAAAACTCAAATAATGCATCCGATTTTAATTAAAAGCAAATGCATGAATAATATGCAAAGCTGCAAATTGCATGAAAACCAATTAAACTTTTTATCTAACGTGCCCAAGTAAATCATACGCACTGTTGTCTTCAACTTGCAACCGAAAAAAAAACAAAGCAACTAAAAGGGCAATCAAGATAAATATCTTAGCTGTCAGACAGCTTGACATGTGCACATTAGTTGCTCATCCAGATAAGCTTTTGTAGTTGGGCTCAGTTTATTCAAAGAGCAAAAGAAGCAGCAGCAACAGGAGCAGGAGCAGGAGCAACAACAACCAAAACCAAATTTGATTGCCATTGGGTGAAATTTACTTTAGTTGAGGGGCAAAGCAAGGGAAATACTCGAGTAACCAAAACCCGCACGGACGTGCCACAGAAAAAGAAATGCCAACACACATACAAATACTGACATTTGAAAGAACACTAAAACAAAGTTGGCAACGCGGCACGTACAGTGCCTAAAAAGGCAACGCCCACCAGCCAGTTGGCCCCTCAATACACTCGCTGTTGTCATTTGCATTTGCATTTGCATCCTTCGTTTTGTTTATTTGCATTTTACATTTTGTATTTGTTCACTTTTTGGCTGCTTTCGTTGCTCGTTTGCTTGTTTGCCAATGGCGAATAGCGAATAATTTGTTGCAGCACCAAAAACAGCAACAACAACAAATGCAGCAACAGCAACTTTTTGATATCAATGTAAATTTTAATTTGCTTGGCAAATATTTTATCCAACAGTTTGTGGCATGAATTGAGCTGTGAAATTGCCAAGAGAAGCTGTAAGCCAAAATGGGCAAATAAAACAAATTTAAATAAAAATAAGAAAAAACTACAGAGTGACACATTAATTTGACTGTAACGAATTAAGCAAATCGGCAATAATAGTATATAACAAGCGATGTAAAGTTTCCGATACCCTATAATGCTCGAACGTATTGGGTGTATCAATTTGGCTAAATTATCCTAATACCTAAAATGTAGCTAACAACATGAAATGTAATAAATATATTTATGCAACATGACAGCTTGTGCTTTTCGCTTCTGGCTTCTACAGGGTATTGTTCAGTCATCCTTGTAAAAGTTAAAACTCTTAGTCGAATAACCAAAAGCATTTAGCAAAAGTAACTGAAAACTGCAGCCGGGGTAAAATTCTTGAACTCAGTTTGTGGAGGCAAAAGATGTTTCGCTTTTGATTGTCGGAACGTAAAGTTCTCAACTTGATCAAAACTAAGTGGTGAAGCATTTGCACGCATGCCAGGATAGCAGCCATCAGTAACAGCGTCCTGTCAGAGGATTGCGTGAGTGTGTGTTGATGTGTGCTTGTGTGTGTACTGGCTTACCCGCTGCGATTCCTTCACTTCTCTTTCTTGGCCGGCTGTGCTTTGGTCTGACAGCCGGTTTTTCAATTTGTAATTTGTGCTTAGGCGTTGCGTCGACACTTGTAAATTTCTTCAAGCGACAATTTAAAAGGAGTCGGCAGCTTGGCACCTTCTTCCTCATCCCTACTTCCTGCTCCCATATCCTGTCGCTGACGCTTGCTGACAAGCAGTCAGCCAGTCAGTCAGCCAGCCAATCTGAACCGTGTCTGGCGCTGTCAGGTACGCGTTTCAGTATCGCCTCGGCCATTTCAGAAGAGGGTTTGTTGCATACCCCTCTTCTTTCCGGTTGGTGCCTCAGCCCAGAGTCTAGACATTGTCACTGCACGTCTTCGACCTGTCTCACAATAAGTGCCGTGTGAAATGTCAATGCATTACTATAATGCAACATCAACTTTCATGAGCTGCCCATTTTCGACCTTAGCCCATCTTAAAAGTCAGTGCCTACTAGTCCTTTTTTTTATCGCGATGGAGCCTTAAAATGTAATTTGCAGTCTGAGAAATACGGCGCCAACAAAGTTGACGAAACTAAATGAGTTGCTGCTCATTCTTTTTCCGCGTTCTTTGCGATAAAATAAATAAAATCGGCATTTTATGCAAATGGTGGACTTGACAAGCCCAAATTGTTGGCAGGGGCCAAATAAATATGCACAAAATGAACAGACAGTTAATTTAAAAAGCAAAGAATTTCTTTAAAATGTCTTATACACGGGTAACTACATCATCAATGAAAGAACAGCCTGCTAAGAAAAAAATGGGTTTGACTTTAAAAATTCATCACGTAAAAGACGAAAGCAAGAAAAAGTGCAGAAAGAAAAATGAATCTGTTACTGCTCAACTTCAGCGAAATTCATAAAGTATGCTAAGTAATAATTCATGCTGAATTTAATGTAAGTTCTATTATAAATTTAAAGTAATTTACAAAGAAAATATTACATTTTGCTTGCTTAAGAGTTTCACTTGAAAATCATCAATCACATAAATATAGGAGTTACCACAAAATTAAGTAGCATTCCACTCAATTCGCTCTTGAGAAACGAACAAACATGTGGAACAAGTTAATCTCCAATCGCATGTGTAAATTGCTCTTAACTTGACCAAACACTTGTAACCAAAGATATTACAGTTCGACTTATTACATAATTAATAATTACACAAAATAACTTGAGAATTGGCTGGCAAAAAGTATTTTAATAACTTGCCCAAGGCTCAAGTTCTTAAGTGCTTGCTGAGGTCAAATCAATGTGCGAAACGTGCTAATTGCGGCAGCTGTTCAAATGTGTGCCTTGGCCATTTGATCGTTGGCCATCATTTTGATGGCTTTTAGAATATCACACACAATCTCATACACACACACACAATAGGGATCTACTTGCAGTGGGATAGTTTAATGTGTGCGTGGTTGGTCATTGCCAAAAAACTAATTGCCAAAGCATTAGAGTTTGAGGTCAGACACTAAAACTTTTGCGTAAATGCCTCTTTTCAGTCAAACACACTTACACACAGACACATACATACATGAACCTACAGAATGCTGTGGCATACTCTTAGGCCAAACTACTCGAAAGTTTCTTGCAACATGCTGGCTGCTGTGTAAGGGACGGGCCAAGGTACTAGGCGTATTTGGGGAGGCTGGAACTGGGATGGGACTAGGTTGGATGTGGATGTTTGGCGTTGTGCGTCATAAAAAATTGCCATACTCATAGCCGCCGTAACACATAATGAGATACTTCAAAATGATGTTATTGCTTTATTTATAGCGACACATAAAAGCTGGAAGCGTTTGAGGTTCGGTTCAGCTTTGGTTTTGGGTTCGGCTTTGGGTTTGCATCTCTTTTGTTGAGCTTCTTTTTTTGCACTTGAGTGGCAGCCACATAACATTTTTATGTAGTTTTTTGCTACTCTTTTTACAACTGTCATTTGTCTTACACACACACAAACCCACCTGAAGCACACACCTATCTGTTGGTTAATAAAACTGCATCAAATGAGTGCCGCATATTTTTTTTATAACAGACAAACTCCATAAATTTGAGTAATTGTTGACGTTGTTTAGCGGGGCAGAAAAAATATTATTATGTTTTCCTATGCTGCAGTAAAAACATGCATCCACATCATGGGTAAACAACTTTAATGGTCAGCTAGTTGAAGGCTCAATGCAATATAATAATATTTAGTTTTAATAATATACATGGCTATACTCACAAATAGAGGAATATTTGCGTTTAATAAGTTTTAGCTATAAATAAAAGAGAATTGTTCCATGTTATTAATACAAATTCTTTAGATACAGTTTGTCGTTTCATATATTTCGTACAAGCTAATATTGATTTTATTAAAGTTGTTCTTTACAGTGATGTTATAACAACCTGTCCACTTCGATACTTGATATACCACCAACCAGAGTTTTAACTCAAAAATTTGGTCATATACATATTTATTTATTTATATATATATATATATATATATATTGCTATAAAAGCTATAGCTCAAAATCCATTCTTTATGCTTTGATAGCAAGTTCTCTGAAAAGCTTTTATACTTTTTTATGTACATGCAACTTCAACAAAACTCTGTAAACTATAAATAAATGTCGCTGGATTGCAGAGTTCCATGAAAACTTAACAAACAGAATCACTGGATTAACGTTTATTTAAAATTCACTTTGACGAAATTGACACAAAGGAAAAAATACATTTTAGCGATATAAATAAAAGCTGAGATGCCAGCAGCGAATGGTTTAAAGTGCATCACTTTAATAATGCAAACATGCAGCAAGTGGCATTAACTTTGGCCGCGCAGGCGGCAATAAAATTTACATAATTGCTCCGAGAGTGTGTGTGAGAGAGAGAGAGAGAGGGAGAGTGAGAGAGTTACTACAAAGGTTTCGTTATTGTTATCGCTGTTGCATGTGCAACACAATGGATTTTTCCTCTACACCACGGTAATGAAAAGCGCGTCCAGCACACTTAACGATTGTTCATGATTTCATGCCATGCGAGCAATTTGCATAAATCAGTGGCAAAGTATCTGTGACAACGCAAAAGATGGACACCCAGCATGGGGCCAGGGATAGAATGGGATGGAAGGGAGGGAGAGAGGGTTGTTTTGTGAGCTGGCTGCTGCTGTTGAAAAATGTTTACACATTTGCCAACGTCTGAAGGTCAGGCTGGGGGATTTAGGCGCCTGCTCCCGCACTGAGTAATTGCGCGGTGGATTGTAGTCCATGGTCTTGCAGGTCTTGGCATGGTCACAACGACCGATTCTATGCCTCGTGCAGCTTTAATTTAATTTATGCATCGCAGCAACAGCAGTGGGATGCCTCGTCAAGTGGCCACTAAGTGGCCGCTTCAGCAAAATTAAATGCACTCAACAACGTTGTCGTTGTTTTTGCTGTTGCATTTGCTGTCGCAGCTGCATGACTGCTTTTAAATAAAATTTATTGTTATGGCAAGGCAACACAGTGTGTTTAGTATTATGTGGCCATAGTATGCATACAATTTATTCACTAGACTGCACTTTCTCGCCACAACTGAGTTATTTAATGCGTAATTACAGAGAAAATCTTCTTAAGCTGCAGTCAGCTAAGTCAAGCGTCTCTGTCGCATCTGCAGCTGGCTAAGTGGCAAGAGGCAAGAGGCAAGTAAACGGCTTAGTGCTTGTTTCATTGAATTCATAAAAGTCTCTTTTAGCAGAAGATTCCAGTGAAAAGTAAATCCTCGCAGCGAATAGAGGTCAAAAGCAAATGCGCGTAAAGTGCCAAAATAAGCATTAAAAGCAATGCTAACTGCAACATTTCAAATGCAAGAGCAAAATTGCAACATCAACGGCAACAGCAGCAACAACGACAACAACAACTGGCTCGTCAAAAGTCAATTAACTGGTAATAGCGGCAGCAACTTCAACTAATTAGCTTCTGCCTTGCCTCAAGGGTTGTGGCCCCATCAACGCCAACTCGTCTCACGACTCAGCTGAATGAAACAAAAGAGTGTTGCATGCTTTTGGGCGCTGCATAGAATTCAGAATGCACTTTAGCCTAGATGCTTTGAATGCCTGTGGAAGGATGTTTTTCGTATGTGTGTGTGTGTGTGTGTGTGTATGTGTGTGCAATTTAGTTACAGATCGCTTTTAATTGCCCCCAGCAAGAAAAATTGTAATTAAAGATTGATTGATTTATTGACAAGTATTTGCGGCAATTCAATATTTGACTAAAAATTAGACAATTTTCTTGCAGCCAATCAACCTTGTGTGATTTTTTGCCATTTGCATTATTAATTTGCACATCATCAAAGCATTCTAATATTCAAGTGAATTTATAATCACATTTTGTGCTAAGCTAGCTAAATATTTACCGAGCTCTGAGTAAATCGAATTTGATATCGAAATTGATTTATTTTATTGCTTGCATTTTCAAAGCTTATGCTGACAAGAAATTTTCTCAGTTAGAAGTTAGTTTATACTATCTAAATAAATATTTAATTTTAATAATACAATTTTTAAGTCAAATAACGATTTCACATGAAATCGTAAGAGCTTTTTAACAAACTTTTATGAAACTAATTTAATTTAACTGTTCCTAAGCCTTTACCCACAACTGTTGCTCTCCTCATGTATCAAAACTCGATTGAGAACTATATTTTCCAACTATTGGGCTGGGGGCTGCTTGCAGCAGTATTGAGTCGTGAGTCTTCAGTGTTTAATTATGGCGTCTCATGTTCGGCGACATTCTTATCTAATCAGCTGGTTTGAAGGCGTACAAGATGTGTTATCTATCAGCAGCCACCGATAGTTGTGTGTCGCCCACATCTGCGAATGCATTTGAATTGCCACCCACTATCATTCACACTCTCAACGCGCACAGATGTCAACTCGAATCGATGCAGTTGCTCTCAATGGCTGATTCCATTTGGCAGACACTGCGCAATATGTTACACCTGCCTGATTTACTAGGTAATTATATGAAAGATTTGTTCTCTGACTGACTGTTCCTCTCTCTCCTTTATAGTTCTCTGCTGCCTGTGGGCCAGTGGTCTCTCGTTGGGCTACTACCTAAAGTCGGCTTTTGTTTACAATAATCTGTGGCCACATTGGTATGCATTGGTAGCTGGCATCATGGCTATATCTCTAGCTCTGGGCTGGACACTGCGCAAGCATGGAAAGCAGCGTTATAGCTACGATCATTACTATATCATATTTTACGGACTGCTCTGCTCGCTGCTGGGCAGCTGTTTTATGCTCAGCAACCAGTTGGGTGAGTTGATTCTCGAACTTAATTGTCTGCTACTACTGGTTAATAATAAACTTTTCGCCCAGCGATTAGCTACTACTTCAGCTGTATTGGCCTATGTGTGGTTTATGTGGCCAGCTTCAGTTATGTGAGCCTGCGCAGCGATGCCTCTGGCCTGCGTCCGGCGAGGATTGCTTTGGCGAATGCCATGCATGCCTGTGGCATGGCCAGTGGATTTGTTATCTTCAACGAGTTTGAGCCACAGCGCTGTGGTCTCATTGAGCTGGGCGTCAATCTGCTCCTGTTGCTCTTCGTCTGCATCAACGAACTGCTGCAGCATTTGGGCGTGCACAACTATAAGCAGTCGCGAGACCTTGTATTCAATCTGCTTAACGAGGAGCGTTTGGTCTTTCTGAAACGCCAGGCAATACTCGTCCAGTTTGTCGACCGCAAGGAATATCGTCTGCAGGCCAGTCGACAGTGGTTGGTGCTCTTTTTAGGTGGCTTGTTGCTGATGCCACAGCGCTGTTTCCTGCTCCATTCCCCCGTCCACATTCAACTCATGTGGAGCGCCACCGCGGGCTTTGTGCAGCGCTCGCAGCTCTTCACACCATTTGCTCTCTATGCCGGCGGCTGTGCTCTGAGCGCTCTCCTGCTGCTGCGATATACACCAAAGTTAGTCTTCCTGCTGTTTGGCATCATTCAAGTCACTCTAGTAGTGGCTCTGCTGTGCATCTATGATGAGGATCAATCGGAGCACTGTTTCCTCTTTCTGTGCCTCATCTATTGCAGTGTGGGCGTTCTGTCCAGCCAGGCGCTGCACTGGCTTCTGGAGTGCTCACCATTCCTCTACACGGAACTTTCGCTGGCCGTGGGCTTTGCTTTGCAACTGGCGATTTTGGAGGTCTGCAAGTATGAGGTGGGTGCGGATGATGTGCGGACAACTATGTTGGCCAGCAGCTTGACATATCTGCTGTTGACTTTGTTGGCCATCATGCTGGTCATCTGGCTGCAGCCTCGCTCTGCCAGTTTAGTCGATGTGCGCAATCGCCTTCTGGGCATTCGGCGCCTCAATTTACCCGCTGCCCAAACGCAGTTCTGGCACACAAATCATTTTCTGGCCCATAACAAACAGCCAAACGAACTCCAGCCCGTCCAACTGGACAAGACGCGCGTCTTTCAACAGTATCCAATAAGCGAATCTGCTGCCAATGGCAAAGCTGACAAATTTTGAAATAAAATTGTGGTTTTTTTTTCAACCTCGTCGAGTTTTAGTCATTAGTCTAACTTGTGGTTGAGAATATCTTTGCTTATCTTATCGAAGTCAATGAATACTTGTATTTTATGTTGGGCATGGAATCTTTCAACTGAGCCTGAATAACATTACCAAAACGTAATCGTGAATAGTATTTTAGAAAGTATTGGGAATATACAACTCAGCTTAAGTCGACAGTAATCTATTTATTTGCTCCCACTCTCTTAATTTATTTATTTAATTGTTATCTTGGTCATCTGTAAGGGACGACCGCAACTTTGGGAGTAGCATAAATGAATTTTATTGATTTTTAACAAATTAAATTGCGCGTTAACCACAACTGAATTTATCATAAAGATGGTTTATCAGTGCGTCCAGAAGCTACTGCCTGACGACGACGACGATGACGACCAAAGGATACATGCCCCCACCACTTTTCAGTGGTTTGCCAGCCTTTTTGCCACAATTTTATTGCCAAAACATTAAACATTTATATCCGCTATCAATTTCGTTAGGTCGGAAAAACGTAATCGCATTCCAGCCGCCTCTGTTGACGTTACTGTCGATTTCTCTCTCTCTCTCTTGCTCACTCTGTGAGTCTATCGCTCCCACACTCAGCTGGCACAATTTTTCATGTTCCTACCTAATTTAATTTACGTAGAAAACCCGGTCGCAACGTGCTACGGCAATAAAACCGTTAAATTTGTTTATTTTTCCGAAAGATGCTGATGGACTCGTGCAAGGGGTGGATGGCGGGGGTTCGAGAGCTGATTTAACCATTGAATGGTCCCGCTTCGATTTCGTTGCTCGTTGCTCTTTTTGTGCCGCTGTTGTTGCCGCTGTTTCTACTGCCTTTGCTGCTTAGTGTAGCATACCTCCAGGCGCACATTGAAAATGCTCACACATCAACGCACACACACACACACATACACATCAACATCGCTTTGGCCCTTTTGTTTTGTGCAACGCCATTGTTTTTAAGTGGGTGCCACCATCCATATCCTGGCTCCCTTATCACTAATGAAGTGGCCAATGAACTGCGACCCAAAGATTAAAGCGAAATTAAATGCCAGCCCAAAGTTGATTGATCGAAAAAAGGTGCATGTGGTAATTTAGACAACATTCAAAATGCTTAAAACTAATTTATATTCCGCATAAGCGGGGATTACAAAAACCCCTCAATATTGAAGCACTTAAAAAAAGGTAATTAATGTAAAAAGCAGACGCTCATTTAGAGTTTTTATATTATGTACCAAAGAGGGTTCTTTTGGTTTTTCTTTTTTTTTTTGGTTGACAACTAATAATGTCAAATTAAAAGTTTACCTGAGTTTGGTGAAAGTTTAAATAGCTAGACTTTTAAATTACAGTTTAATTTGTTTGATAGCCTTATCTTAATTTTGGAAAAGCTTTTTATCCTCGCGCTGTCCGCTGCTCAGAGGTGAGTGCAACAGCTAGAGGTTACTTTTTCTCTTTCTCCGCTTGACCTCATCCACGGCTAATGCGAAGTCTTGCACCACTTCGGGCAACTCCTCCGCATCCACCGTCCAATTATCCAACTGTGGCGGTCTATGATGCATTATAAACGGATTGATAATCTCGGCAACACCCTTGGCATTGTTCAGATGCACATGATGTGTGCCCTTAACCTCGTGCAGCTCAAAGTGTGGATTATTAGAGCGCAGTATGTCAATCACCTCCTGACTCTCCTCGTCGATAAAGTTCGACTCAGAACCCTTGATCACACAGTATGGAACATTGCGAATCGTTCGCGCAAGCTCGGCTGCAAAGGGTGGACTTGTGTGGAACTCAAAGTAATACTTGCAGCGTCCATCTCGAGAGAAGAAATACTTTTCCGGATACTTGGTCGATCTGGCCACATTGCGTTCCAGTATGTGATGGGTGTTTTCCATGGCCACCGAACCATCTGAACCCTTGTGCAGCACATGCTCGAGTTCGTTCCACGTATAAGATGGTGGCTCCTCGCGCTTGGCATTTGCAAAGCGCTCATCCTCGACCATGTAGCGCTCGATGTTGGTGCGCAGGTAATCGATTTGGGACGGTGGCTTGCGATAGCGTGTCCTCACAATATCAATGCTGATCAGCATATCCAGGCGATTCGGGTAGAGCGAGGCGAAGATGAAGCACAACATGGCGCTCATTGAGTGCGCCATCAGTGACACCTTCTGCCAGCCATACTCCTCCATAATGCGCAGTATCACGCACAGGTAGTCCACAAAATGATAGGCAATCCCCTCCGGCAGCTTGGACGAGAAACCGTGCCCAGGCAGATCAATGCAAAGCACGCCCAGGTGCTTCGGTAGCAGTGGCAATAGCTCATTCCAAGTGCCCAAATTGTCCAGCCAGCCGTGCAGGGCCAATATGGGACGTACCTGACGATTGCCATACCAGCGGCCTACCACATAGCCCCAGGGCATATTGATTCGCACATCCATCGGCTGCAAGCAACGTCAGAGAAAGGGAGAGAGAGAGAGAGAGAAAGAGAGAGGTAGGAAACGGGTTAGTTGCCACTCACACAGCTAATTGACAGGCCAAACTTTGTGTATATATGGAATAACCCGAAGGTGTTCGAGCAATCTGAAAGGGTTCGCAAACACAAACGCAAACAAAGGCTGTCATCTCATTCCAAAAATCTGCCTTTTCGAGCGTGTTAAAATAACAATACAAATGTATCTAAAGTCATTTTGGGACTAGCTAGCCAGAAATCGATGATAACTATTAACTGCCAAGCAATAAAATACACAATGTGCCAAAAGAGATAAGTATAGTAAAGAATTTGGTAAGTCTCAAGTTAAATGGAATATAAGCAAAATAAAAGAAATACCAAAAGAGATATGATTATTTATGAGTTATTTACGTTTAGTCTAATCGCAATGTAAAGCCAAACGAAATTCTCATGCTTAATAATCATTTTATTATTATCATTTCGTAGCTAAGTAAGGGTATATTTCAGTCGTCTGCAATCCAAGTTGCAGTTGATTTGATCAATGGTTTGGTTTACACGTGAAAAGTTCAATTGACAACTAAGCGGCGCATGTGTAGATTGATGGGCAGCTTTCAGTATGACACCAGTGAGCAATTTATCATCTGTATTCGATTTTTTTTCTTTACTTTTTCTGGTTAGCAGATGGCGTAGTTGGTTACAGTTGGGCGTAAGCAAACGATGGAGCTGCCTATTCTGCAATTGACTGCATCGCATGCAAACTTTAAGTGTCGACAAATGGATTTTCGTAGTTGCGCGTTGCAAAAAAGAAAAAAAAACTTTTGACGACACTTTTGCTTTTGCCGAAGAGTTCGTTCTATCAACTTGAAAATTAGCGCAAAATGCTTTCAAGTGTGACGCAAAGTCTGCAAAGTTTTGCGCCCCAAACATTTTGATGAACTTCTAATGAGCTTAATAACAGCAACTTGCCCACAAAACTCCACTTATCTGACGCTGAATTGTCTTGGAATGGTCTTTTCATGAATGTGATTTGGGTAGCTGTATATACATATAATTTCCAATTGACTTTGATTCACGCGGCTGGAAATCTTATCAGCAACAGTCGTTACACATTTACCCATAGCGATAAGATGCAAAGTTCAGTTGCAATTGAATCGGTTCAAAGGTAACTCCGGAGTCTAGACACGCAACTTAATTTATATTTATCCCGATAAGCGAAATAAACATTTTGTGTATTTCGTGTTCCTCAACAATTAATCAATGTTTATGAGCTGCACTCGGGGTAGTTAATTACCTGTTCTTGTTCATCAGTTTGTTCCATTTCATTGCTTGCCGTTGACGTTCCTGTCATTTTGTCTGCTTAATATGATATAATCTAGGCAGCAATTGCGAACATTTATTATATATATATATATTTATATGTACATATGTTGATTTATACTATATATTATAATATTTCAAACGTTTTCCCTACTAAAAATAATATGCGAGCAGCGGAGCAATGGACACAAACAGCGCGCAAACTAAACTAAAGCGAATTTGGTTTGTCGCGCTGAATAAGTTCTCGAGAAAATGTGAGCGGAGAGCGATGAACGAAGTCTGACCTTTAATCAGACGCATTAGCAGCTAATTGATGCATGTGCGAAGAAAAATACCTGACAAAGCAAAAGAAAGAGGGACAGCGAGAGAGCGAGTCAGAGAATGAGTGAGTGAGTTATCAACAAGCTGGTTCCGCTCAGCGTTTGTCACTTATCACACAAACAAAACTTAAAAACAGTCAGAGCACAAATTAAGCAACAACAATGCTGTTAATCAACTAAACTTTATTAAAGCTCTTGAGCAACGATCGAAAAGCTCAAGCAATAGAGAGAGAGAGAGAGAGAGAGAGAGAGATCGAACAACGCCAATTATGAGCTTGTTAAAAGCTGCCATTACAAGCGTCAAACTTTTTCATAAAAGTATCGTTAAGTGGCACTTAAGAGCTAAAATAAATGTACGCAGTATTGGAAAAAGTTGTCAATCTACTTCTTAGTTTGAGCAATCCTAAAGCAAACATATAAAACTGTGCTTTTATATGCGAAGTAGGTTATCAAAATTCTTGCTTATTTGCAGGTTTGTAGTCTTTAGCAAACTTAAGCTTAACATAAATATTAACATATTAAACAATATATTGCTACGCAAATAAAAAATCCCGATCATCGGGACATCTAGCAAAAACAATCAATTAAAAAACACATAAGTTGTATTTACTTTGTCAGATTTGAATGAACATCCTAATTTATATACCAGATAATAAAATGATGTGGATCCAATTAACTTTTCATATAATTTTTGAGTGCTGAATATACCCCAAAGTAAAAAATCGCATTTATAAGCTATACAATTTTATAGTTTGATTGAGAGCAAGAATTTTCATAAAAATAATTGCGTTCAATTGGTTTTGCAATTGTAGTTTTTGTGCAATACCAACCAAACGGTAATACGCTAAAAAAATATTAAAATAACAATAAATATTTATTGAGCTCTTTGGTTCGATTTCAACGGCACTCAGCAAAACATATTCAAAATTCCATTAACATACAATGCCGATGTCGACAACAATCCAATTGTTTGTTAGTTTAGTGTTCGATTCCTAAATCCCACGAATATAATCAAAACGAACAGCTGAATATTGGTGCCAGCGGTTAGTTTTCGGTTTGCCAAAAAAAACCGTTTAAAACATAAATCTTTTTGAAATTGAAAATGGAAAATGGCGAAAGGGATGTATGTGTGTGTGTGATAAATAACGTATCGCAATCATAAATCTGTCCCGTGAAACATGCAAACCGTTTTAATTTCAATGCAATTAAAAAGGAAAGGCCACGGATTCGCACCAGTGGCTGCAACAAGGATAAATGGATAGGGGTCGATGAAGGCCGGAAAGGAGCTTAAGCATCGCTTAACCGACTGCGGCAGCAGGATTTAATCAAATGCATCTGTCAAGGAGTTGGCACAAGTGCACATCCTACGGAGCGCCAATCCGGCAAATTGTGCTCATTTTCGAAATAAAATTACGAGTGAGCGTCGCATACCGCATGCCGCATGCCGCTATATGCTGTATGCCGCATGCTATATGCTGTATGCCGCATGATGCCTTGCGCCTGCTCTGTGCTGCTCACCTGCTTGCAACTGGCTGCATTCTTGACCCAAGCCTCGCACTAATGACATTTGAATGACGATGGCCCGCACCAGGGAAGCAGAATTGAGCCAGAAGTCAGTTGGTCAGTTGGCCGCAGCCACGTTGGCTAATGACCGTTCGCGGATAGGATACAGTGAATGCCACAGACTACGGCGGTGGCTCCAATCCAATGGTCTCGTGACAGCAGCTGCGATAACAATTGTCTCAGTCATCTTGTTGTTTTCGTTGTTGTTGCTGTAGCTGTAGCTGGTTGGCTGGCCAACGTTTCGATTCAGTTTCATTTGTGCTGATATTACCTATAGTATATACCTAAGTATGTTTATTTCTGGATCTATGCCAAGTGCCACAACGTGCTCTGTGTGGCTGCTGAGCGCTTTGTTCGTGCCCCAACCTCCTTACCACCTTGTTGTCAGGTGTAAAATGCAAAGTAATGGCTTTGAATATGCCTGTTAAGAGCCTGACAGGCACAACGCCAATGGCAGCAACGTAACGGGCCTTTAGCATAAGTATGCTTGACAGAGAATTGGAGTGACCTAACTTTGGAATCGGGCCGGTAATGCTCAAAGCAATGAAGTAAAAATGACACAATGAGCAGCGAACTCAAAAGTGTACTCGATACAAGTGGATTAGATGTATGGAATCGCGTATTAAATTTGACTACATTTTCAAGCATATATTTCAATCAATGAGTACGTTTTTTCAGCAGAAGAAAGTTTGGACAAATCCCAGCAAATGTTTGATAATTTAGAAACATGCACAGTGATATCTGAAGTGTGTTAATGTTATAGATACTACATAACTTGAATCTTCACTCGCAAAACTTGTTAGAGTGTATCTTATCTGCGGCTTGGCATTCAGTTAATTTGTCCATTACTTACGTATCTCAAACAGCCTGCTGAGCCTGGCTGCTGCCGTTAGCCGTTTTACTGCTGTTGGCTTTTGTGTGGCACTCAAGTGAAAAGCTTTTGTCAGCGCATGGAAATTTGACGGAAATTGTTTGGTCTGATGGATGCAGCTGCTATTGCTGTTGCAAAAGGCGGCACCCACAATGTGCTCCAGTTACCTTTTGCCTAATGGTCTTGTTCAGCATCTGCATCAGCTCGCCAATCGGTTGTTTGCTAAGTAAGCGGACAATTTTTGGCTATTATACTTAGTGGTACAGGCTACACTTTTGGCCAACTCACTGAAATGACAATTTCAATAGAATTAAAGACACAATTTGGTTGCCAGGCAGCCAAAAGGGGGCAAGAGGACGCCAAGAATTCGCCAAGCGAAATAAATGCAAATCGCATTAAAATAAATTTTATTTTACCCTCTTCTTCTTTTATCCGCTTGAAGCTTGTTGTGACGGTGTGACTGCAGGATAATGTCCTTCAAATAGCTGCGTGGCTGCAGAGAGCCAAGCCCAACTTTGGCGACAGGTAGCAACATGAAGTTCCGGTAAACAATTGGACGGGGGTGTGGGGGAGACGTTGCAGATTTACTACGGCGCGTGCTGCTGCCACAATTACCGTGCTAGAATCAGACACAATCAAATTCAAGTTGAACGTTGAACTTTTTAATGCATAATTTATGGGTCTGAGTAGCCCGCCCGCTCGTCTGGCATTGTCATGAAAATCCAGGGCCACTGGCGGGTTAAGGTAACGCACCTTTTGGCTTTCTGTTGTTGTGTCTCAGATACACATACATATATGTATATATATCTATATATAAATATCTCTTATAACAAGAGACAGCTGTGGAATGTTGTGCCGCTGTATCATAAATATTTATGAAAGCTGCCAAAAGTGCACGTCGTGAGGGCTTTTCTGACGCCGACGCTCCTCAGACTATCCTCAGAATTTACGGAGGACGTGCGCCGTGTGGCATGCCACGATTTATATGCCCTCCATTCAGACCAATATATTTGCTTTCATCAAAAACTCATCTTAAATGCCAGCACATGCGGCACATAAATATTGGGCTCCATATATAAGTATATGTATATATATATTCCTATATGCTCGCAAATATTCAATTGTCTCTGTTAGCTGTGGTAAGTCGAAATGGGTCCACACTTGAAGCAGTTAAGCGAAAATCAACCAAAAATCGTAAAATCATAATAAAAATGTGCCTTGCTTGGCGAACTGTTAAAATTTAAGATTGAAAAGTACTTGAAATACTGCTATAAATCAGGCACTAAAAATTGTTATACATCATTTATTATCTGAAATGATAAAAGCGGAACAATTTTAATGCAACCAATAAGACTTATTTTAGCTTCGTCTTTTGGAAGATTGTTATTCATCATTTATTATCTGAAATGATAAAAGCCGAAAAGTTTTAATGCAACAAATAACAAAATAAACCCTCTGGTTTGTTTGAAGATCAATTGGAAACTAAGAGAATGAGAATCCCAAATCATAAGATTAAAAAAGAAGTCTTTAATTTTGTTTAAATCGCATAATCTTTCTAACTGGTCTTAGCCCACATAGACACAGACACAAACACACACACAGAAACACACATTTGTAAGCCGCTAAAAACTGGCCACACATCCTGACGGAAAACTTTCTCTTGGCGTAATTTGTGTCTGAGCCAAAATCGAAAAAATAAAATGACAGACCAAACATAGAGGAAAATAAATCCCGTAAGCCCGACCAAAACTATCAATTAAACTAATTAGCTTGATTTCCCCAGGCTGAACACGAACTGGCGCAGAAATTCAATCAGTGCCATGCAGAAAAACGCAATCAAATGATTAAGTCAACAAATGAAGGCAAATTGTTGGGGCTGCAGTGGTCGAACAAGTTGGCAAATTGCACAATGAATATATAAAAATATAAAAAAAAAGAAGAAGAAAATAATCACTAAGGCTACGCGAAGGTCTTCCTTAAAGTTTGTCACTTTTTGCCGCTGACATCGCCCCAGTTAAAGTTAGATAGAGAGAGAGAAGGGAAGGGATGTGGTATATTTTTTCAGACAGGTGGAAAATGGAACGTAAACTTTTTGGCGTCCTAATGAGCGGTCGCACCATTGATTAGAAGTCCGTCCCAGCTGATATAAGGCTGCACACGACGTTTTTCAACATACTACACACATTTTTTTTCTTCACTTTTTTATGGAACTTTTTGTGCGACTCCAGCGCAAATTGAATTGACTGAAGATTGGGCGATGGGGAGGCGTGGCACGTGCCATATGCAGAGCATTGAGTGCTCGTAGATATTGATTTCGTTCTTCTTCCCTTTTTGTTCGCTGTAGCTGCAGGAAATTTATTTATATTCAATTTGTGAATTTATGCAATTTTTTTTTAGGACTAAGACGAAACGGGAAATTCACTTTTCCGTCATATGTAGCATATGTGTGTGTGTGT